CATGATATCCATTTTGTTGTGGAGATGCTATAACTCTTATTCCAATATGTTACAAAGAACAGATAGAATTTAATAAACTACTACGTGCTGCCTTTATACTTTCGTTTAGCATCATTTTCTGTATTTTTTTGCTAAATGTTGCTCCTGTGTTTTTGTGTTTTTGCTCGTGTTGTGTCTATTTGCACGCTTTTTTTCCCCTCAAATTTCAGCAGATTGAGCAACGACATATTGTGCATTTCCTAACTTGTGTTGTGCATTTTTCTCATCACAGAAAGAGCAGTCGTTGCCAAGGTAACAGCCAGCCAAATAAACAATAAACAATTACACGTCTGAGCCAGATTGGAACTCTTTGCTTTCACCAGGACTTTTGTAGAAAACATCCACAGATTCAAAAAAAAAAAAAAAAAAAGTGTCCTCCTGGCGAATGTTTGAATATATCAATTTGGTGCTGCCGAACGTACACACAATAGCACGCAGACACCCATTCATCCAGCTCCACTCTGTTAAACAGTCACAGCCTCCCGGAGCGATTCTCATCATAATTGCCTGTGCCCCCTAAAAATGACGTTTTTATCACAGACTCGGCAAAGTGAAAGGGCCTTTTAATGCCTCCACCTTCAATGGGGAGCGAGCCTGCCTGTGTTCTGTCTCTCATTTGTCATCCAGCCTCTTGGGTGTTTTCAACCAGCCCGACTACGGAGTGAAGAAATGTATCTGTGCAACGCGGAGGAGATGGGAAAAGGCTGGAACGCCCTCTCGACACATGCATATTCATACCGTGGAACGCTGCACCCATCATAAATTTGTAAATGAAAGTTAATGTGCGTCCGTGCTTCTGTGTGCGAGTCTTTGCCTGTCACACCTCTTCTTCTGCAAGGGAGCCTGTGTGTGCTTTTTTTTTTTTTTCTTCTTTCCCCACCCTCGGAGCTGCTGTGCCGTGTGAATAAGTAGCTAATGAGTGTGCTGTGTGTCATGTTAGCCGGGCTCTCCATCTTCACTCTGGAGGGTTCACTGCCCCAACTAGGCCTGCTTTATATTCCAGTTGAGGCCAGAGAATAAGGAGCTTAGGGACACTGTGACTGTATGAATATACAACACTGTAAACATGCACCTTGCTGCTCCCCACGCTTGGCTGTGATAACTTATCCGTTCACCTCCTCGTGCGACTGGAATCACGGCCATGAATATGGAAATGAAAGTGCGAGGGGGTAAAGGAGCGGCGTCTCCTCGGTGTCGTATCTTCTCCGAGTCGAAACATCCGTGTGAATGAAAAGCAGGGCGGAGAGGCTCAATTCGCTGCCGAGAAATCTCCAAACTGCCCATCAGCATAAATCAATTGCAATTCACCGTAGGCCTGATGACCTCAAATATAACAAGCTGTCACAACAGGCGTGTGTGTGTGTGTGTGTGTGTGGCTGCATCTGAGTGTTAACTGGGTGTGTTTTCATGACTTGAATACAATATGTGACAGCTGGTGCAGAATGACACATTGGATAAGTGTGTGTGTTTATGTGCATATGTGGTATTTGGCTCCTCGCTCTAATTCCTTATAGACTTGTTGGCAGTAGGTAACATTATGCTGTTTCTGCTGCAGGGCCCTGCGTCTTCGCGTCCCGCTGTGATCGGAAATTTTCCAATGACATTTTGAACGGCCATCAGCCCACAATATTATGGACTATTTCCAAAAGTTGTGCTGCCGTTCGAGGCCATTTCGTAATGACAGGAAATTGCTTTAGATTGCACTTTGGTTCAACACGTATGCTGCAAAAACATCGTTCTCTTAAAACTCTCAAATTTGCCAAATAGCATATTGCTAGATCTCTTCCTGGAAATGATCTTGTTTTTTTTCCCTTTTCATGCATCATGTGAAAATATATGAAATAAAAGAAACCGGGAGATGACTCATGCATTTTCAAGTAGCTTTATTTTCCAAACTGGAGAGGAATGATGACAGATGGGGGGATAGAAGATTGCAAAGCTCAGACCAGGCAGTTTTGGTCCAAACACAGTTGGGGAAGAGACAATACAGGCGGTTTCAGGGGAGAAGGAGGGCGATCAAGAGGCAGATTACTGCACCTGTCACCTTTAAGCCGTAATTCTTACTTTTTTAAAAGATAAACAAAGCAGCAGTCTCACCACATAAAGCCATGGTTGGCGAGTTTGAGCAGCATTGCGACTCGTATTTATCGGATGCGGCCGTGAATCCGCGGCCTTTTGTGGCTATTTTTGTAACAATTGCTTTTTCTTTATTATTTTTTCTTTCTCTCCTTTCTGGAGAAGAAAATAAAAATTTCAAATGAGGGCAGGGAACAGTTGTATAAGTGCACGGAGTTCTTACTTGCAACCGTCTGATTTAATCATTTATGTAAATCTCCCAGGAGCTGTGTGAGGTATGGATCTGAGCCTTAATGTCCTGCGAATCGTCCAACTGAAACTGGCTGTGGGTGCTATTGACATTTTCATATTTGCTGACTTTCTCAGGAAAAGTTAGACAACAGTAGCAGGAGAGGGTTTTTCTTCTTCCTGTTGCAGTTTATGCTTGATCGTTTGTACATCCATGAATGTGCTTGTATGTCTGAGCATTTCTTTTTTTTTATACCGTACTATAACTAGATGAAACAATGGTGATAAATGTTGCATTGTAGGTTCTGCATTATGCACATAACTCAAACTTCATGTTCCTTCAATTCAACACAAATACATCCCCCCCCTCCCTCCTTCCAAAAGCTTAAATATAGCTCAACCTCGCAACGCAAGAGCCTGATGGCAGAAGTCAAACTTGCTCTTATTCGAGCTCTTACAAATCTTAACCGTGCTTCTCGCTCTTTGATCAGTTTCAATTTGCTTCATTTTCAGAATAAAAGCACAGGAACTGAACAATAAATAGGTAACAGACAGAAAAACACAAAATAGTTTGAAATAAATAATACAATAATTTCAACCTTTGCCTCCCGTCACATACACCAAACATAAAGCGACACTTCGTTAAAGCAACACAGAGCCGGATGTCACTGAGTCGGGCTCCTGTAAGGCTCTTTGGTCCCTTGAGGGTGATCACTAAAAAGCCATGTACTCACTAGCACTGATAAGACTTTCTCAACGTAGCTATACTGCTTTACTACCGATCCTCCCACCGAGTGAAACATTCACATGACGGACAGCAATGCGATGCCTACCGAAAAACAACAAAAACAAAACCCATCTGGTCTCTGTTCTTCAACATTACAGTAGATCTGCAGTACGTAGCAGCCAGAGGAGGCACTGACACTTTCTACAGAGAGAAACAACAAAAGTCAACATGCACGCACACAAACACGCACGCACGCACTCACACAGGTCAGCAGAATTAGACAATTAGTAAGTTGATGTGTTGCTGCTGACAGCCCTTGTCCCATTGAGTCAATAAGCCGGTGTGCTGTTCACAGTTACAGACACTTGTTTTTTTTTTTTCTTCCTCCTTTTTGTCGAGGAAACTGACAGAGCCTCAGTGTCTTGGTGAGAAAAATAAATGTTCGTCCTCCTTTGCCTCTCAGCAGCGCACCAAATGTGCCACGTAGAAGTCCGCTGCAGGCGACGATGTGCCAGAGGCGCTGATAAAGAGTGACTCAGCCAAACGGTTCCCGGTGTAACCCACGTAGGCGCTATTAGGGGGCAACATCGCCCCGTAATTGCATTGTCCATCTGTCCTTTAAAGTCAATGTCTACCTGGTAAATACTGCTGCTCGTCAGGAAGCAGGGTCTCTGGGAAGTAATGTTCACAAGTTAAATAATAAGAAGAATCAGTTTTGTTCATGTCAGTCTTCAGCAGATGCACCTCCCGTTAGATGCTAAAGCTCCAAACAGCTTTTATTGTTGTAGAAATGTCCAAACAGAGACACACTGAAGGAGAAGGGTCAGTTCAGGGGTGAGAGGGGGGGAGAAGGGGTATCACACCATCTACATCTCTGTGGCATAAATGTGATGTTCTTTGATGTCCAAAATCCATCAGTTTATTTCATGAAAGAAGAAAGCCAAGAGTGTCTTTACAAACAACCTGAGTGTCCATTGTGACCAGTACTGAGCTCAGAGCAAGTTTTCTGACGTGAAGGCTTTCCTCTCACAAAGGTCTGAAAGGGCGCCCTTGTTTGTGCTATAACATTTGAGATAATCAGAAACCCTCTGTTGTTGTTGCACTTTTAGATAAAACTCGAGGAACACATGTTTGCCCTACAGCCGGGCAAATTAAGACTGCAGACGTAAGAAATCACCACTAACCTTGTGTGCTCCTTGTGCTCTGTATTGATGAATAAAGGGCCCTAGGCTCACAAGAATCTAAGGTCACTTTTCCTTCTTTTTAACCTGTCTTCTCTCCCCCATTAGTCACGGAGTCCTTAATAGCTACAAAACACTAGACAAGAAACGGTCTGTGCTCATATCTGGGAGTCGGTTCTCCTGCTTTCTGTTTCGTAACGTTTCTCCTGTGCTGCATCACTCGTCTTTTTCAGCGTGATGCAGAGATAAAACACTGGAAACCTTATCAGCAACACCGGAGTGCAAAGCAGTTCGGTGAAGTCCTGCTCGGCCTCTCCGTCATGTCCTCCCGTACCCTGTAAAAAATGTGTGTCTCTAAGTTGCAAAGCTGAGATTTCACAGTCCGAGCTGCCTGTTTGCACGCTGTGGCTGCAGAAGTGTCTCTCAGTGCTGAATGATACGCTGGAATTCTCCACAGTTTGACATATTTTTAAAACAGCCCTTTAAGTGTTCTGAAAAATGGAAATGATTGTTGATTTTTTATGCCTGGGAAACAGCATTTTCGTGTGTGTGCGTGTGTCCATGTCCTCTACAGCAGATTTGTGTGCTAGAAGAAAGTACCCTTGGTGCTGCTGCACAGTATCTTTTTGAAGGCCTTTCTGAAGTCTTTGTTGAAGATGGTGTATATGACGGGGTTGAGCGAGGAGTTGCAGTAACCAATCCAGAAGAAGAACTTGAAGAGTGGGTCAGGGATGACGCAGGTGTCCGGGCACACTGCTTGCAGAGAGTAGGAGAAGAAGAAAGGGAACCAGCACACCACAAAGACCCCAATGACCACCGCCAGCACAAAGGTGAAGCGTTTCTCTCTGTTCACCATGGCTTTACGCCTCGCTGCTCCGGGGTTGTCGTCTTTTTTCGACTTCCTCCCTGGCACCAGCCGAGCCCCCTTTGAAGTGGCGATCATATCCCTGTAGCGCTTCACTGAGGCCGGGGAATGGATCCCCCCTCCTGCTGGGGAGCCTGGCATGCTGGTGCTGCCACGGCCTCCTCCGTGGCTGTGCTCCATATCGCTCTCTGTGCTCGAGCTGTCGCCGTTGTTGTTGTCGGCCTTCTTCCCCCCCAGACGCTTGCCCTTCTTCCCCCCCTCTTTCTTCTTGGGGGCAGACAGAGGCACAGAGGAGGGGGTCGAGGGGCCGTGGGGAGAGGTATCAACGGAGGCTGTGACCGGGGACATGGCTGGAGAAGGGGATGGAGGCTGCAGGAGGTTATTGGTGGTGGGATTCTGGGAGTTTTGAGACTCTCCCTGGGATGGGGAAGGGGTTATAGCGAGGGTGGGGGGTCTGGTGTTTGAGGCTTTGTTGGATGAAGGGGGTGTGCTCTCCTCCTCCTCCTTCCCGTTGGCTTGTACATGTCGTGGAGGCTGACTCGGTGTTGCACAGCCGACCCCATCCTTCCTGGGCTCTCCAGGGGGGCAGCGCGTCCTCTGCTTGGCTATTTGGTAAATTCTTATGTAGACCAGGATCATGATGAGACACGGGGCGAAAAAGGAGCCAATGGTGGAGTAGAGGATGTACCAGCGCTCATCGTTCAGCTGGCACTGAGGTCCTCTCTCACTCCCCTGGTCGCCTCCCTCACTTTTGTTCAGCGAGAGCAGGGGAGGGAAGGAGATGATGGCAGAGATGAGCCACACCACCACAATGGCTGCTTTGATGCGTCTGGGAGTCCGCTGACGCCCGTAAGTGACCCTGGAGATGGACAGGTAGCGGTCCAGGGAGATTGCGCACAGGTGCACGATGGAGGAGGTGCAGAAGAGCACATCCAGCGCCAGGTAGATCTCACACCACAGCGACTTGAAGTACCAGTAGCCCAGCAGCTCGTTGGCCAGGGAGAAGGGGATGATGAGTGTGGCCACCAAAATGTCCGCAGCGGCCAGAGACACCAGGAAGAGATTCTGCGGACCTCGGAGGGACCTGCTGGTCAGCACGGCGATGATGACCATGATGTTTCCCACGATGGTGAAGAGCACCATCAAGGTTATGGCGGTGGCAAAGGCGGCCGTGGCTTCGGGGGAGTAAGGGGCGAGCTTCAGGACGCTCTGGTTGCAGGGCACGGAGGCTCCGGAGATGCTCACGCTGCTGTTCCAGCCGCTCAGCTCCATGGAGCAGCCGTTGTCCAGAACCAAGGCCATGCTGGGGTTATCTTTCCAGGCTTATCTTTATAGATGGAGGAAAATGTACACGTTTGGTGACTGAATAAAATTAGTTTTTATCTGTTTTAAGTGTGTTAGTGCGCAATAAAACACTACATTTACGCAAGAAAAAAAACGTATATGTGGTGAAATAAATGATATTTTTCTGACATATTTACCTCAGTTGCTTCGTCTCTGTGTTTTTTCCAAATGAAAGCTCCCCTGTACCCTCCACGGCAGGTCCACCAAGTCCATTTTAAGCACACAAAGCAGTTCTGGGCAATGCGTCAAGACACAGATTGGTGCTTTTCAATTATTGCCACTTTGAAAAAACGAATTTCCCTCCCGAAACTGCCGTCCTTCGGTCCTTGCGGAGTTAGAACACAGCCAGAACAACCAGAAACTTCTTTTGCGCAGATTGCGCGTTTCTCCCCAAATGGCTTGACGAGGCTGCTGTCCTCAAAATGGGAAGAATTAATTTGTAATAATCGAATTTGGAGTCGTTTACAACGAGGCGACACTGAATACGAGGGACCGGGTTAGAGTAAATATTGACACTTGTGCAATCTCCGTGCGTCCTCGTTTGGAGACGCGCGTACAGCCGAGCGTCTCATCCGAACAGCAAGCAAGAACTGATTTACACAGAGCGAAATAAAGGTGACACGATAACATATTTACAGTTAATAGTAATAAAACGATATTTCATTGCGGATGACAGCCCGATGTCCGCGCGTCCAGTCAGCCAAAGTCAACCTCGAGCTCTCCAGCGCTGCGCACAAAACCAAGATGATATGTTGTCAAGACGCGCCGTCTCTTCTTTCTGCGCTGAAACGATCCACGCAGAGCTGCCTCAGCCTGTGCGTCTCAGGAGTTGTTTTTCTGGGTCCTCGGTGCTCCAGAAGTTCAGCGGGACGCACTGATTCGGCCGCTCATCACAGCTTCGCTCACAGAGGCGCAGCAGCATCTTCACTTGTGAGCAGGACCTTACAACAAAATCTAATAAGTGGGGGGTGCCTCCCATCTCCCTCTTGCGCTTCTTTTAGACCCGGTGATGTCATTGTGGAGCTGGGCGTCATGGGATCCTTCTCCTCTCTCTCTCTCCCTCTCTCTCTCTCTCCAGCCCTGTGCTGCTGCCCCCCTACCCATCTTTCCTATTAAATCTATACCCAAGTGGTTCGACAACAGCAGTTAGAGCAGAAATGGCTTCTTGGGTGGCTCTGTTTCGGTCAATTAACTCTACAGGACGCCCAAGTGTCCGGTTGGGTGCCACGTGCTTTTTATAGAAAACATAAGTTTCCTTGTAGGGACTCATGCACATCATCAGATTCTTCGGTGTCCCGTGTTTTTACTGCTCATATGGCTCTTCAATCAAAAACCCTGTATGATCTGTGACTCTGGAGATATTTTCTCTCTCTCCACTATCTTCCATGTTACATCCAACAACTCCTTTAAAATCAACTCTTTCACTGCAGCAGCAGCAGCAGCAGCAGGACCTCTAACCCAGGGCAATGACACTGAATTTTTATCTTTCCAAAAAGGTCAAAAGCTACATTTTTTTATTTGTAGTTTGGGCCAGAACAGATAAGAGCAGCATGGGAGGGGTTGTGAAGGCTGAAAAACACCTAAATATTTGAGGCTGGGTCGGTGTAAATGCTGCAGTGTTGTGTTGTGAGCATCCTGATCGATAGAGGTGGTTAGCTCATCATAAAGGCACACTCATTTTCAGCTGGGAGAAAGTAGTCAGTAAAACTCAGTAAGAGCATAAAAAAATAATAAAGAAAGTCTAAAAATTGGAATAAAACTAAAAGAATCCCCCCCTGCAGAGTGTTAAATTATTGATGTGTTAAACTGTAGGTGGTCCATCCTCGAATTAAAGTGCTTTAATCTGAGGGACTGAATCAGATATTTCACGAGGTTGCATATTTTGCATATAAAGCATCATTCTGCAAGAGCCGCCACATAAATGTTGCAGTGAAAGTGAAGTATTGTTTTCATCTACCTTTCCCTCCCTCCTCCCTGGGTGGGTGCACTGTGCTGGCCTCCACCTCTGCTCATTGTGTGCAGCATTGAGGGGCGGGGAGGGGGCACTTATTTTAACTTTCCGCGCTCATGCATTTGCATCATCACGCCGATTTAAATCCGTCTGCATTGTGCAACCTGCGGGACCTTCCTCCACCTCCCCCCTCCCCAACGAGAACAGACACCCATCCCCTCATCGCTTTGCTGCCTACCTGGGATCAAGCACCCAATTGTTCAATTATGGAGCCAAACCTACGTCACGCTGGCTGCTTCAATGAGCCACGAATCAAACAAGAGTCGATCCTGTGTTGTTTAAGTAGGTAGGTGGCCTCTGTGACACAAACAACATTCACCACACGCATTCTTATGAATGGTGTGTGGGTGGGGGTCCTGTTTACTTGTTTGTGCAGTGCGTCCTCCCCCAACACACACACACATATTGCTGCCTTTAATAAGAGAGAAGCCCAGCTAGTCAACCATGGAATTACAATTGGGAGACCTCCTCTCTGATTATGTGACCCCAAGCAGCAGCCAATAATGGTTGCACATTTCTCGCTCCACGCTACACATTCTAAATATAAAGGGGAAGGGGAGGGGGGGAAGAGAATAAAGCTTTTAGCAGGAGAGTGCACTCCAATCAAGTGTCTCTGTTTCCGTGGGTGAACCGTGCTTAGTAACACGCTGAAAATGCATTCTGGCGGTGAGGGGTGTGCCACCGATGCCAAGGTTACACAGACCGAGCAGCACACAGCGTTCAGTGCACAGTACACTGCCTCTGAAGTGCTTGTTGTGTAAGAGCATGTGGTATACAAACGTGTACACACACACACACACACACACACACACACACCGAGCAGACAATCCTGGAGGTAATTCTGCTGTCATGGATCACGCTCAGTGGATCAGCTAGTTGTGCTTGACATCCAGACTGGAAAAGATTGAGCCTGGTCTGGGCAAAAAAAAAAAAAAAAGAAATAATATTAAAAAAAAAGGCTTCCTTGGAGAAAACTTCATGATTTAAAAAAAAAAAAAAAAAAGTTTCACCCTGGTCGAAATAGCTAAAGAAGGAGCTGAAGAGAAGTTGTGCTTAAAGACTGTGTCCCAGATGAGGTTACTGCAGGTCAGCAGGGCTCTGGTGGGGAGTCGGTGCACATTATGGTTCAGGTCCAAATCAATTACAGCACAGTACCTGCCCCCTTTGGATGCTTTCAATTTAGAGCCTTTTGAGTTATTGGCTTGATTCTGTTTTCTGTGTGTGTGTGTGTGTGTGTGTGTGTGTGCTTTCACTTTTATGAGGATCGGTTTGATTTTCAGACCTGGAGTGAGCGAGGACATTTGCAGAAGGAGGAAATTGTGAAATACTGCAAAAAAAAATCCAGACCCAACCAACTCCAGTCACCTCATGCTTCGATTCAAACTCTAGCGGGCCTTGCTTTTAGGATAAATGGACGATCTGATGCTGTCTCAGGAAGAATAAGCCACTTTGTCTTTGAGTTATTTTAACTTAAAGAGCATCTATGATTCTTGTACATTAACTAAACTCAACACGATTGCCTGAAATCCATCCTGTTGATTTTCTGTCCAGATGTTGTGTGCCATAACGACAGGCTGATGTCTTATCAACTAATTCACTAACTTCACGGACGGCCAGATTGCTTTTTAAAATTACAGGCGTGCTTACGGTTAAAAAATTCTGCCTCATATTTGACGGGGAACTTTTTCTGTCAGATTTGACGTCGGTTTAAAAGGTTGAGTTGAGTTTCGGTGTGAAGTTTGAGAAGATTGAGTTGCCAGAAAATCCATGAGAGAGTGACGCTTCTCGCCACAGATTGATTATTTGAATGTTTTCAGAGGCGTCAGGAGGCAAAACTCTTCAGTATTTCACTAAAAAAAAGTGCACCGGACCGAGGAACGCATCATATCAGAGAGGAATCTCACAACCACAGCATTACAAAGTGTGTAACCTGCAAACAATTACAGGCAGCGCTCCCAGATGGCCATGCTGTAATTTTCCGGACTGCGTTTGTAATTAGAACTACTGCCGCTTCTGCTCGTGTGATTGTGTGTTAAATGACCACACTGTGATGCTTCAGTCCAGTCCGGAGGCATGGAGTCACCAAATCTGCTGGGTGGGCCTGACAAAAAATTCACAAAATTGAAAACTAATTGCCTCCCATTTTAAAAATATTTCAAAATTACCTCATTTATTATTCATGTATTCATCAGAAGGGAACATACTGCCCCTGATATATATGAGAAACGGGGCCCTCTTTAGAGCGAACAACACACACATGTTGCTCCTATTATCTCTGAGCGGTTTTCTCCATCTGGGATTTGTTGTTTAAGACACACAGCCGTGAATAACAAACGCGATGAAACTCCAACGGAACTGTGATCCACGTGCTAATCCCTAATCTCTCACACTCTTTCCCTTTGCAGACACATGGCACATGTAAACACCATCAGCAGATGCTGGCTAATGTGACACGACTGACCCCGGCACTAATCTGGACGCAGACGTTCCCAGATGTGGATTAAGCCTAGTCCGAGACTAAAAGCATATCCAGTGGAGGTTTCCCATTGAAGAGCGTTTTCAGCTTGAATCCACGTTTGTGTCTGTTTTGATTAACGGGCCCGATTGGGAAAAAAACCGAGTCGAGAGAGGCACTCAAACGCAGCAGAGCCTGCTTCATTATCGGTATTTATGACCACATGAAAGAACAGCAACAGGAGCTTCATTGTGTTAACCGACGATCATGCGTTACAAAGCAGCACAGATAAGGAGTGTGTGTGTGAGAGATGTGCACATGTGGCTTTCCTGTGTTATCTTGAAAATAATAATAAAATAAAAAAAGGCTGCCACAGTTCAACAGTCTGCTGGCGTCACCTGCTGGATGCTTCCATCGCTTGCTGTTTCAGAAGCTGTCACTAGAGAGCAGTGTCACACTGTGAACCAGTGATGCTGGAGCACAGTTTGGGGGATTTCAGGTAGAGATCTGACTGAGAAGTACTCAGATTATTTATCTACACAGATGTACCAGCACAACAGCTACAAGAAAAGTCATGCATCCAAAATCCTACATCATCAGCAAAACACAAACGTGTGATATTGGCTGTAACTGCATGTTTAGTTTGTTCACTGCGTAAATGTGACGTTCTGCTGTTTATCTGGTACCAGACGAAGCTAAATATAACTTATTTATGATGAAGACAGCTCAGTGTTTCCCCTCCTGTGGTTTGAGCCGTTTATACAAACTTCAACCTGCTTTAAAAGGTCACAAACTGGTGTCACATTTTTTCACCTTTTATTTACAGTAACAGTTTATTTACAGTAGTTTTAAACCACCTGAGAGGCTCTGAGGGGAAATCTCTCACAGAAAACACTGAAAAATGCTGGAAAATCATCATCAATGGGTACTTTAGACATAAACCTTTAAGTGGAAAATGTTAACCTAGAATACAGACAAAAAAAATAAAGTTATCAAATTAATACAGTGGAGAAAAAGGCACAAGAGTTGCATGAAATTCATAGACTAGAATACAACCGCCTTTAAAATGTACGACTTAATGCACTAAGTTACTTCACACCTTTTCTTTATCGTTGTCCCTCATGTTTAACCCCCTTCTTTTAATTTCTTATGAAAATAAAATGGTTAACAAAGATGCTAAAAAAAGAAAAGGGTTTTCTTTGAATCCCGTGGATCAACAGAAATGTTTTTCTGCCTGGCATGTAAACAAACATCGCATTGATTAGAGAATGTGGATTTTTTTTTTTCCTGCCATGTGACTGAAGCTCGGCCTCGGCTCCTCCAGCGAATCCTCCACTCGACCAAACAAGGTTCTTCTTATATTAGTAGAAAATTTTGATCTTAACAGTCGAAGGGCGACGAATTGCAAGCAAAAAAATGACAGGAAAAGGAGCCACATTAGAGAGCTGGATATCATTGCCACTGTCACTGGACAACTAGTGCAGCACTGCCAGGGACAAACAACACTACAGGCATTGAGCAGGACATCAGAATACAGGATTAGTATGGATACCTCTACTATCTCAGGGGTGTTACCAATACAGCCAGCACAAACCATGCCGATCACCCTATAACCCTGTGCCCAAGCATCCGTTACAATCAGTCATATGCTTCAAATGATGTAAAGCTTAATGAATGTTTTTTTTCCTGGGTTCCTCTCGGCCTTTACCAAAAAAAACCTAACAGCTCCGAGGGGCATTTTTCTGGCCTTTTGTGTGGAAAACTGTGGCTAATGGAAGGAAGAAGCCGAGCGTAACGGTTCTGCCTGCGTACATGTTGGGCAATGGATAGCTGCAAACGAGAGGAAGTGGATTATTTTAGCTATGGCCAGCACAGAAGTGTGGGTGGCATAATTAGCATCATGAGATGAGGTAGATGCTGGCAGCTGGCCTTCTAATGCACTGCGAGTTGTAGTCGTTTCAGCTGAACTGGCCAAGTTGACTGCATGTTGTTTACAGTGTGGATCAAACAAAACGCAGCCACGGAGAAAATCATTAGCTGGAACATACCATGAGCTGGTTTGTCTGATGGTACTGTGATTTATTAGTGATATGTGACCAACTAAAGAACCATTTGGTCCCAAAAACAACACAAAAACTGCATTAAAAGGTAGTTTATGGCTCTAGTTCAGTCATCTGATCAGAATGTCATGAGCAGGGCGATCAGTGATGCGGACTTTCCAAACTTCCCCGACTGTAAAAGTCTTTAACGGCTTTCTATTCTCTCTCAAGTGTTGGTTTTGGCCAAACTCTCCCTGTCAAACGTCCAAAGCGTTTCTCGCAACTTGAGTAAGTGGATGTGAAATTTATGTCAGCGGTTGCTGAGGTCAAAAGGACTTGAGACTGTAAAACCCCACTCTGTGCAGGATAATCCTCCGAAACACTCAGCGCCGCACAGTTTTTAATGCCGTCTGATTCAGCCTGAGCGACTCGAGTGCGGGAGGGTCAGCGTGTGAAATTGTGCATTTGTAACGCGTCGAGTGAAAACAGTCTGAGTCAGACTCACAGCTGGACTCAGTTTAGAGGAAGTAAACCTGTTCAGATCAAACATTATGAAGAAAAACTGGGATATTATCGAGTCTCTACAGGACAGATTCACTGAACCCACGGGGATCGGCTGAAAAACTGATTCTATCACCAGTGTTATGAATTGTCATCCTGCCTCGTTTTGTTTTGCTTCTATGAATCACGTTTTAATGTATTCTGTCTGTCTTTTATCCCTTTACCTTCTATTATCATCTTGCTTTAATAAATAGTCCATTTTATTTATCTTTTATTGCTTTTATTCGTGTTCTTATTTTACTTTAATGAATTCTGACTTGCGTTGTCGTTTGTTTTATAACCTTGAATCGCTTCACCTCGACCATCTCTTTTATGTCTTTTATCACTTTTATCATTGCCTTAATTTGCTTTAATAAATCAGAGCTTATCCTGCGCCTTTTGTTGCCTCGTTGCATTTATTTATGGCGGCGTTTCCTCAGTCTCTGTTTTATTGATGCCTTCATGTCTATAATGTTTGTAGAGGGTGTTCTTACATTGCCTTAATATTCCTTTTCTTCTGTAAAAGCATTTTTTTTTTTACATTCGCATGAGAAGTTCTTTACAACAAAGTCTGACATCCATGTTGACATGAATGCATCCGCGGCTGTTTCTATTCAGGCCTCAACAAACATATGTGCTGTTCTACTGGGAACCTTCCTTTGGCCAAACACGTCTCTGAGGTGACTTAACTCTAACGTCAGCTGTTGAAGGCAACAGCTTTGACCCCTCAAACAAAGGCAGGCAGCCATTTTGGATCTATGCCCTTAAAGCTAAAAGTCCCTGTGATGCCGGCTCTTGCAGAAACCCAACCACCAACGTCGCTAACCCCAGAAACCACTTTAGCTTAAGCTGAGACACTTAGCACTCATTGCACACACAAAAACGCAAATAACAACATATACTGAAGTTCTATTTGTAGAACAAACATTTCGTTAACTTTTGTATGTTCAGTGTTGTTTTAGGTCGTAATAATCTTTTCTTTATTTTACCGGTTCTGTCCAGTCTCCAGCAGCTGTGGTCCTCTGGATGGTTTCAGGCAAACAGGTCCTTCCAGGGAGCTCCAGGCTTTTATACCAGCGCCAACAATCAGACCGTACCAAGTGCCTGCACCTTGAAGGGGTGGACCAGTTGTACGGGATTTAAATATTACTTTCTTTATTTGACTTGTGTTGGGTAGTTACATATATTATGGGTTTGTTTACTGTGATTCATTTGATAAAGTGGAGAAATTGATCTGTTTTGTGCTTTTTGTTGGTAGTTTAGGTGTTTTATGTCCCCCCCTATTGTGTGGAACTAGTCTGATCAGCCAGTATGTATATATATATGTCCCCTTTAGTCTGGTGTGTTTGCAGTTTGTTGGTTTTGGTGTTGCTTGTAGCTTCATTAAGTTGTGTTCTTTTATCTTCTTTCATGGCCTACATTTTGTGTTTTATAACTTTTTTGAGTTAAATAAGAAACCTGTTTGGGAAATTCCCCCCCATGAGTCCTCGTGCTTTGCAGCTCGGTCCCTGGTCTCACTGAGGAGTTTGACCTTTCTTATAATCATTACAAATTTAAGTCATTATTTGATTTTTCTAAAAAGTTTTCTCCCTTTAAAGATCCACAAAGTGCCCTCCACTAGATTTAATCATTGACAACGCACAGTTCAGTGCATCTTGTTTCCTGTTGTGGACATTATCCTTCTTTGTCTACACCAACCTTAGCGAGGAAAGTCAGTTTTTTTTTTAGAAGCCTGTGAGACGCCCGTGGTTTTGTGTTTCCTGTGTTGTACTGCTTGTGTGACGCTCCTTCAGACTAGAGAGAAAATGATGCACATAATCAGTGTTGCACACCTCCGAGTATTGCAGCTATAATTCCTGTTTCCACACCCTGACGAAGATGCCAGCCGACATGTACGCTTTTTATCGTCTGTGACTCAGAGAAATAAACACCTCTAATCCAGCTTAAGTGCCTGGACAGGCTTTTTTGTGCCATTTTTTTTTTATTATTGTAATTCTTCAACCCTCCTCAATCAGTATTCCCTTCTCTAACCACCAGTGATCAGGTTTCTTTTTTATCTATTGACCATATCTCTTAGAATTTCAGAAGTACAGTTTGTATGCAATAAAAAGGTCATCGTATAGAAGAAACAGACTTCATATGTCCTCCAGCATGTTTTTATTTCAGTGGAAAAACAGCAGGAACAAGATGTGACCTCGCAGGTATAAAGTGCAGTGACAGAAATGAACAATGGCAATCGTAACAAATGTTGAAATAATAAATAAAAATTCTATTTACATGATAAAAAAACAACTTCCTCCAGTTTGAGTGTCCTCATCTGAACAGCTACACACCAACTGTGCCAGTTAGTGCATTTGAAAGAATAAATTAGATGCCAAAGGTTTGAGATTCGACTACTATTGCTGTAAGTAGTTCACACAGTGTTTTCTCTGAAATAGACGCGTCACAGTGGTTGTTGCTGTGAAGGAAAGACAATATGCAAATAAGACAGCCCTTACGAACGATCAGGCACATAAGTCAAACAAAAACACACACACACACACACATAAACCAGACAAGCAGGCACAACTCCCCTCGCGTATGAAACGTCAGGGAAATTACCTCATCGCTGCTCCGACTTGCTGGCACAGAATCACAGTGGTTCAAAATGTGGTTATTACAGCACGGTTCACGTTGCCAACTGCCGCTTGTTGTATCAGTAAACCCATTTGTCAGTTTCTCCTGGAAGCAGGAATCCAGGCGTGTGAAAGCCAGCGACACAGCTTTTTTTTTCTGAATGTACACAGAGGGTACACTGTACGTATGATCTGAGTCCTGATAATGCTCTGAGTCCAGCACGAGGCAGGAGATTCAACAGTCATGGAAATGTCCTTAATGCGTTGAGGTCGTCTTCATCCCTGACAGAGAACATCAGTCTCGAACTGCAGCAGCTGTCCCATGAAGGCCAGGTTGGGGGAGATGACGTGTCGCCGCTGCTTCACAAAGTCGAAGGCCTCGTCCAGCCGGACTCGCTGCGTGTGCATGAGATAGGCCAGACAGATGGTGGCTGAGCGGGAGATACCTGCCTGACAGTGCACCAGCACCCGACCACCGCTCTGCTTCACCGAGTCTGTAGGCGGCACCGGAAAAGACAAGACGGAAAGAGGAAGACTGATCAGCATATTGTTATGCTCCATTTCATCACTGATTATGTTTTGCACACAGTAATGTAGCTTTAATGTTTGTCTGAAGAAGTAAAACGAGAATGCAGTCATTGTTTGCTCCTGTGTTAATGGAAACTGGAAGGTTTTTTTGTTTTCCAGAGCTAAACTTTTACAAGACAAAGGGGACAAAAAGAAAAACTTGAGATGTAAATAAATGTCTCTCCTGCAGTTTGTGCAGCATAATCCAGTTGTTTTGTAACCAGATGATTAAACTGTTGGTCCATAAGTCTAGTTTACAAACGGGATTATGGAGCCTAAGCTGCTTAGAAATGTCTTCTGGTATTTTTTGCTTTACAGAGAGGACAAAAAAGATGGCTTACTGGAGCCAGAGGCCAATTTGCTTTGTTTTTAGTGCGTCTTCTAACTTTGGGTAAATGAAACTTTAAGGTCCCACTACAGACGGGTTGGAGACACTCACCGATGAAGGCGATGGCTGTAGAAAAGCAGGCTTTGATGTCAGCAGCCAGCGTATCCTCCACAGTGAGTCGCAGGTACTGAAACTCGCCCTCGTAGAAGTTGGGGCAGGTGGAGGACACGTTGAGCACAGCCGTGATGCCTGCTGCTGCCAGAGTCTCTCTGCGGGAGGAGTGGACGGCACTCCCCAAAAACAGGAAGGGCAGCAGCTCCACTGGACCGCCCTGCAAGTTACAACCAAGATTCATCAGGACGCAGTTTGGTCTTTTGTATGAAATCCCTTTTTATCACCAAAGTGAGCTTTTTAACGCACAGCTTGATTGTTAAGTTATAATCCAATGTGGTGGCTTTTCTCTTACCTGATCATATGCTGGTGTTCTCCTGCCTGTCACTGTTGGCTCTGGTTCCACTGCAGAGACGAGACTGCTGGCAGAATGGTAACAGAGCTCTGGATAGGCCTCTGAAAATCCCTCAAATCCACCTAAATGGAGGTCACACAGTATTAGTTAAGCTGCAAGCTTTCATCACAGTCTTTAAAATGTGTTCTGTGAGAGAATAATAATGACAGAGCTGGTTCCACCCTGACAGCCTGCTCAGAGTATGAAAGTATGCTCAGTGCCTAAATATGAGTTAAAACGTCAGGATTTCGTTAAAAGCGTCAAAAAACTATTTAAACAGTAAACTTTAACAATTTCAGTGTTTAAAACAGCCTGACACCGGAGTGGATTTCTTTTGTTTTTACCTTGCAAAAAGCAGATCTGCGTCTCGACTTCGTTCTGCAGCGCGGTGAGCAGCATCTGCGCCACGCTCTCCGCCTTCAGCTCGGCCACGGAGCCGCTCCGGTCGTCCACCACCACCACCGGGGAGAAGTCCCCGCTGCGCAGCCGGCCCAGGAGCGCCTTGTCCGGGATGAGCCACTCCAGGGCCACCACCGAGCTCTTGGATCTGCGGCGCAGCATTGAGTTCCAGTTGACGTTCCTGGACTCGCAAATGTGCGCCAGAGAGAAGTCGAGAAAAGGTCTGCAGTCCAGCAGCACGCAGCCGGCGGAGGTGTACTGGTCCCGGGGGGTCCTGAGGATGTGGACCAACTCGTTTCCAGTTATTTCCAAAGGCTCACTGCTGGAGGTCATGGCTGCAAAGTGGTTTAAAGTTAATCTAAAAGTAAGAAATAATGAACTATTTGTCCTTGAAAATTAAAAATGTAAAAAAAAATAAAATACAAATAATAAAAAAGGAGCAGTTTTGTGGAAACTTTGGACGCAGGAGTTGATGAAGTATTTGGAGCTGATTTAAAATCCACAGTGAGCGTGTGTAGAGTTGTTGATGTTCTCTCCTTCAGGTCGCCCAAAGCCAGCTTTAGATTCATAGTTTCACTTGTTCATTGATAACAGCTGTGTGGGGGGCGGGGCCTCACGGCCCCTCCTTGTTGTTCCACAGAACAAACGGCGTCAGAGACGGAATGACCATATTTGGTCTGGCCGGCACTCCTCATATGGACACTGACGTCAAACCTGATTTTCCTACCGCGCACGTGGTCGTTTGGGGTTATCCCGTGTTTTTGTGTTGAATGACGTGATGCTGAGCCGAGCTGCAGAGGAAAGGCTGAAGGCTGACTTCTGTTATTTGGGTTGAATTAATCCTGCTGCTGCTCTGCTTTCCTGCTTCATGCAGATCTCACACAGAAGCCACACTTTCCCAAAATACTCTGAAATGTTGCAACGACAAAAAGCCACAACAGACTTCTCCTCCTGGTTCTGCTGGTAAATCTAAAGCTTCTCTGTGATATTACAGCGTGTTGCAACGTGAACAGTAAAAACTCTGCACCACAAACTGTAAAAAAATAAAAATAAATGCTTTTAAAACGATGAAAATCTGGCAGTGCCACAAAAACATGTTAGAAAAACTGTGAAACTAATATCTGTAAAATAATGAGACTTTAGACTGATCTAAATGCAGTAAAACGAGGCCTTTTCTTTTGTGAAAGAACAAATTATTATACGTAGAAATGCAGATTTTTGATGCAGATTTGATGTTTTTTTAACAGTTAAAATGTAAGTTGTTACTTTAAATTATGACTTTTTCTATATTTTATCTGTAATTTAACAAAATTGAGAAAAACTAAAATAAAAATTGAACGAATTATTTGCCATTATTTAATTCATAAGGCACATAATTTTCATTCCACATAATGGCTGATAACTGTAAAATATGAATGTTGCTGCTGACAAAGTACCATTTGTAATAATAGTATTAGAATCAATATTTTGTGATGAGATCTTATTAGTTCTTTTCTGTCATTTAACAAAACAGAAAAGATCTGTAACATGAATGTAAAGTGTTAAAACATACAATTCTACAGATGCAACCGTTGCTTCTGTTCATGCTATGAAGACTCGGGCCTGTGCCGGTTATAAAATTACAGTTTTATCAAATCGTCCCACTTCACAAACTGACACGGTGGAAACTAACTTATATAAAACACTCATGATCATAACTGAATAAGCTGCACTTGAGGCTGCTAATATACATTTTTTGCATTTTCAGTAAATGCCATGAAATATCCATCACTAACAATGGGTACTTTGAAAATGTAGATCTTTAAAAATAGTGCCCAGATACATAATCTAATATTCAGAAAGGCTGAGCATTGTTGCAGTAATTTCCTGCAACTGTACATTTGTTGCGGATTATTTCTCATGGTGGATTTGTTGCGTTATGATAAGTATGTGGGATTGATTGAAAAAAAACAAACTGTGCCTTTGTTCAGCACAATAAAGCTCAGTGATGTCTGCTTTTAAAAATAGAATTTCTGAACAACTCTTCAGACAATGCTTGTTAGGGGAATCTAGTTTTGGTCTGTTTGCAGGGTTGTAATATATAAAATAGAAGCACACAGAACATTATCAGACTAACTGTGTCCTTCTCTTGATTATTAGTATTGGGATGAACAAGAAAAGACATGATTTAGACGCAAGTCTTGGTAGAAAGCTGCGTAAGAAAGAAACCGTGTCGCCAGTCATGATTACAGTGAAGACAGTTCTACATTATTATTGGTAAATATGAAAGATGGCATCACACAAACTAGGTCATCAGCCAGTTACTGCTGGTTTTTATACTGAAGTGGTAACAGCTAGGACGCAATGCTGGCTCTTTCTTGGTAACTTTAAAGCTTCTAAAAATACTTTCCCCCCCTTCATTTCCTGCTGTAAGCTTTGGGTTCTATGTGAACGTCACATTTTCTATCAAGTTTACAATGATTTTGGTAATTTTACATGAGTGATATCTGTATGTATCCTTTTGTTCGTCATTATATTAAAGATTTTAAGCATCTCAGTGGGGACAAGGCAGCTTTACACACATGGACCAGGCAAGAGTTAATATTTGAACCAGAACATGGTGACAAATGAATCAGTTAAACCTCATCAGTCCACACAAACACATCTGTGGTGAAGCACGGTTAGCTGTTGAGCTGTTAACAAATAACATTCTGTTTTCTTGGACTTTAGTTGTGAATATTCAATTGTAGAAAAACACTTGAAATGTGAAATCAGGTTTTTTAAGCACATTTAAGAGTCTTTTTTTTGTCGCTTTTACTTCAGTTGTTTCTAATGTGGGTCGATCCGTTGTCAGTGAGCAACATTGAAGTCAAACATTAGTGAGTCTAATTAGGGAGTCGGTGTAGATGTAGAGGCTTCCGCCCCTGGATACAGGAAATTCACAGGAAGATATATTTAACGTGCAGTGTGGGGTAGTTTATATCACAAGGTGTAATCTGACGTCTTTGTCCTCGTTTCCTCATAACCCACATTCAAATCCCTCTGCCTGTCCACAAAACGTCTCCCACTCAAAACCTCTGACTCCACTTTCTTCATGTTCCCACTTCCCTTCCTCCCCTCCCTCACCGCTGCCGGCTGCCGTAGCACTCCCACTTTGTCATTCCCCCTCCCTGCTGAGGCTGCAATTTCAATCCACAGCAGAACCAACAACACACACACACACAGAAACTTTGATACACAGTTTATCATGGCTGTCAGCAGAGCCGCTGAGCAGGCATTTACTGGAGCCTCAACCTGTACTTTAGGTTTGCACACACACATGTGAACCCCCGGTGAAGGGGTGAGGGCTGTGGAGTTGGAAGATTGTGACGTGAGTGTCTCTGTACGAGGGTGTCTTAAAGAATGCTGCTTTTTTTTTTGTCAGCAGTCGCCCCCATGACAGTGAGCCCGACAGGAAACAGCACCACACATACATCCTGTCACCATCCATCCAGACCTCCGCCTCTGCTCACACGCCCCCTCGCGATGCATCACTACGACCTTTGCCGCGTTTGTCACGGCTCACGCTACCGATCCCTTCATCAAAAAGTTTGTCAGAAATTTCCCTGAAAAACCTGAGCAATGATATGTGAGTTCACAGGTGACTTCATGGTTGCGGTGACTCACATCGATCGCTCTCTTTCATTTTCATTTATTTTTAAGCGTTTCATAATCTCCGCTCTGTTAACCAATCAGAGCAGCGTGCCGTCTGACATAATGCCAAATTGGTTGTGTTCGATTTTTTTTTTTCACTGTCCTATAAAAAGACATTTGAACCTGACGCACCAGTGAACCCGATGACAGCGGACGCGTCATGAGGCAGAAACGGCAGCAGATGTGTGATGCAAGGCAGACTTGTAGAGGTTTAGGAGATGATGACAGAACTTGTGTAAATACATGTGAGTATTTTTGAATCACAAGCTGCCGATGTCATCAAAACGCGTGAAGACAGAAAGTCTAGCCGCGGTGTTGTAAGACAGCTGTGACTTCAGAATGATGGGCTCGTTACTAACGATGCAAACACGCGCCTTCACTCGTCTCTGTGAATGAACGGACGAGTAACGAAACATCAAAAGGACCTCTGACGAAAACATCTGCTGCTTGCTTTTACCCCCTCCTTCCCCTTCCACGCGGGGATTATCCTGGATTAATTGGATGGCTGGGGCTATTAATCTCTGAAAAACACTGTAATCCAGGAGATTTACCTCATCCCCGGCTCCTCTCATAAACGCCCACGTGACGGCGGTATCACTTCATTCAGCGGGAACGTGCTCCCTGCTGGGGGAGGGAAAGCCGAGGGGATTCTGGTGAATTTTTCAGAGTTGTACATTATGATCTCTTCACGCCACAAACTTTCGAGTTGTACGAGCGTGATCTCCGCGCTGGCTTCACCCTGCCAATAAATCAACGACACCTCATTCATATGTAGCCAAAATTTATTCTCACTTCCATTCTCACTTCTAGACATGACACCGCACTTGCTGCTGGGAAATTTATCTGACCGCAGAGCAAAACTTACAGCCTAAAAAGAGGAAAAACCCTCGTGTCGCTGAAGCGTGTATTGACTGCAGACAGTAAATTAATCACACCATGTTTTCTGCGTTCTGTTCCTCCCTCCTCCTTCTCCTCAACTGTATCACTGCTCTCCGTTGGTTCACCATCCATCTACGAATACAGATCACACAGAGGAAATCCTAACTTTTAAAATAAACCAAAAAATCCACCTTACTCATCAGCTAATGTTCGCCCTTTGTTTAAATCTGACTGAACACCAGATGATTGTTTTTGTGCTGAGCTGGCATCACTTCCTGGAACAACTGACGATACTTTCAATAAAAACAACCCACTGGCGTAATGGATTTGTCTGTAAACAACGGCCCTGTTTTTGTAGCTGCTAATCTAATAAATCGAGAGTCAAACCTCAAACTACGAGATAACGTGGACGGTCCTTTCATGTTGCCCCATTCGGTTTGTCATGCTCTCCGCTTTGCTTTGTGTAACCTCTTTCACCTCCACCCTTCCTGCCAACCTCCCGTCCTCTTTCTCTTTCTCCCTTTCCGCCCACTTGCTGCCTCTTACCCCAGGACAACTGTGAGGCCTACGCTCGCTGTCAGGCTCAGAGCAGTAACCATGGCGATGACTGGCACCAGCAGGTCCTCCGTAAGTTGAAAAGGTGAGTGGTTGTCTCCATGAGGCAGGGCGGGCAGAGAGTTGAACGATCGGGGAGTCTGGCGAGGCAGAGGGGCGACTGTGAAGAGGGAGGGGAAAATAACAGGTTTAGTATTTGTGTAAAGGAACATACAAACGCAGACCGGACCTCTGACGATTTGTTAATGTAGTGAGCGGAACTGCAGGGATTAGATACACTTTTTTCGGATCTCACTGTCGGTAAAGGTAAACCCTGTGTGACTTTATTGAAATCCCCACAGCAGTAAGAAAGCCCACACAGCAACTAAACAAACAAGTGACACACCCTGCATCCACCCTACACACACTGTACAATCCACAAACACACACCCAAAACTGGAAGGTTTTCAGTAGACTTCTAAACATCCGGCACATTAATCACTTTAAAAAGTAAGTGATTTACTTCTCTTTTCAATGCCGTAAGTCAAATTTCGTAGCTTTCATTACAAAATACAAAGAACTTTTTATTTAGCATAAGAGGCAGCAGGTAACAGCCACGTGTTAAAAGTTCCTGTGAGTTGACAAATATTTATCAGACTTCAGTTTACAGACAGTCCCGTGTGTGACGACACGTCTGAACGCTGGACTCTACCGGTGAGTGGGAAAGTGACTCGATAGAAGTTGGTTCCGTTTTGGTCTTGCAGAGAGCAGCGATATGTTCCCTGTTCGTCCACGCGCAGCTGATTCAAGACCACAGATGAGTCGTCCGTCACCACCAAAGCCCTGAAGTCACTTTCATCCAGCTATAAATACAAATCAGGAAGTGATAGTAGCAAGTTAGCGGGCGCAAAAGCCGACAGACAGAAAAATGTGCATATTCGCAATATTTTAAAGCTAAATATAGATGGCAAGGGAAGTGGGGAGTATGCAACAGATTACAGACTGGGATGTTTCCACAGAAGTAGTTCTAATGTGCCCAGCTGCTATGTATGCTTCTATCTGTGTTGTCAGTTGCCATAAGTGATGGCAGTGAGACCTTTTCAGTTCCTGGTGCTCTTGGGGCCCAGGAGTAGTGGTACTCTAGCTTTCCCAAGAGAAGACGATGCCATGGGAGGAAACAGTTCAACACCGCCTGGCCTCCCTCCTCAGCCTGCACTGGGTGCTCTGGAGAAAAGGGGGAGAGGGGGGAGAAAGAGAGATCCTCCAGTAGTTTGCATCGGGATTACTTGAATAATCTTTTCAATTAGCCCGGCACATGGACAGGCTGCAGCAGTGCCTTGCTTAAGAACACATTTAGTCACTCGTGACAGCGTGTGTCATACAACATGTACTTTGCAGAACGGTGCACTTCCACCCTGTAGGTACGACTCCCCCTCATCCACTCACAACAACACGCACACTAACAACAACATACCGCCGCAGTCCTGCTGGCCAGACGGAGACGGACAGATGTACATCTTGTATTGGCAAGAGACACAATCCATTACTCTTCTATTCAAAAGCCCTGAAAGCCATAAACACACATGTACACTCACGTGTTCTGTAAACATGTTCCATACATATAATACTGTTTGTACACACTGTGCTCGTACAAGGATTTACAGCGACGCAGATGGAAGGATCAGACAGAACAAACTTACCGCACTTGTTGGGGCACAATCCTGAGGGAGAGACAAATAAATGATCTGACACTAATGCACAGCAACGACTTACACAAAGTGCTCTGCCTCATACTGGGCAGGACACTCGCTGATAAAAATTCATGCCAATTACCATCACGGATGAAGGCGTCCAAGTGTTTCTCTAAGATCTTCCTGCCTTTCTCCATGATCTGAATGGCTTCGAATGTTATGGAGCCTTAAAAAAACACAGCAGGTTTTGTTATAAAATCTGGTGGACGTTGACTGAGTTATGATTATATGTAATATATTCAGTGAATTTAGAAGGAAACAATTTAAGAGCTACTATATTTCCCCCCTAAGTTTCCAACTATTGTTCTATCTGTTTGGAATGAATAGTCCTGATGGATGATTTTCTTTCGTGTCTCACCAGTGCGCTCCATTTTCAAGAAGCGGTCAAATTCACTCTGGTATTCGGTTCTGGCTCTGTACAGGGTGGTAGGATCTGAGCAATGACAGTTTCAGTTGCAAGATCATAAATAAACCTCCTGGCCTGACAATACATTAGAAAATCTGTGAAACAGGAGACAACCTATGACATCCACGTTGCTAAATCTCACCAATGACCCCCTTTCGTTGCCGGCTAGTGTCTGCGTAGGTCACGTAGGCATGGTCCGAGATCTTCTGCAGCTCTATCTGGTCACTCACAGAGGGAGCAGACAAGATGAAGTCCTCGTGCAGGAGCCTGATGGTGCGCTCGCACTGCAGACAGGCCTCGGCAGCAGGAACACAGCAGAGCAGGGACACCAGCGTCAACAGCATCTCCCCTCTGGACCTTGGACTTCCTGCAGCAGGATGAGTCACTTTGGCTCCTGTGATTTTTCACTCAGTGGAGGTTCTGAAACAGAGATGCCAAATATTATTGTTGCTAAAAATAGCGCTATCGCTGTTTCAGCAAGAGTCATCACCACCACGTCTACAGCTGCTCTCACAGCGACTGTAGGAGTTTTACTGCTATTATGAGCAGTAATGTGACTCCGATCACTTGTTCTACTTTGATCGTTAGACCACAATTTAGCACAGATTGTCAGTCAGTCTGCTGGCGGTCATTTTATTTAACACAAAACTCTAATTTACCATGTTAAGACCAAAACCAACAATTAGTACTCAGTTTAACGAAACAGAAAACTTCAGATCACTTTTTCTGCCCGATTAAAAGGACGACAACTAACGACTATTTTCAAAGGCGGTTAATCTGTGGATTATTTTCTCAATTCATCGATCAGTTGTTCAGTCTATCAAAATATCAGAAATTTGTGAATATATGTCAGTGAGCGATTTCCTCAGTCAAAGATTCTCAAATGTTCAGTTTACTCTCATAGAGGAGTAAAGAAACCAGAAATTATTCATATTTATGAGCTGGAATAACAGGATTTGGGCTTTATTTTCCTTTAAATAATACCCTAACTGATTAATTAGTTATGAAAATGGTTGCTGATTGATCAAACAGCTGACAACTGATTATTTAATTGTAGCTCGTCTACTGATTAACAGCCCAAAATTTCAAAGATCCCTGGACCACTATCACACAAGACAGAAAATATTCGTTTTCACACCACTGAAAAAAAATGAAAGTAGTAAATTTGACACTTAAGCTTAAATAAGAATTAAACAACCAGTCATTACAAAAACAGTTGTTTCTTATAATGCTGTTTACCAACTAATCAAAACAATCAACTTATCCTTTTAGCGCTAATCCTGTGACCAAACTATACATACTACTGTACACATGATGCCTCTACAGAGACACACAGAAGATCAGAAAACAAAAATGCACCTACGTTTACTGACATTTGTTGTTCATGTCTTAAATGTAGAATATAATTTCACTCGTAGTAGAAGTCAGATCTGTTTACTGAAGTCAAAATATGTTCCTGTCACGTCAGGTGTTTTAATCTGGGGGTTTTTCCATTTCACAGTCTGCCTGGAGGATATTTGCTGCAGTGACATTATTGCGTGTGAGGGCGCTTCCCCATAATTACATATCGAGCATGACCTTTCAAACCATTATTCAAAATACGGCAGCAGGTAGCTCAGTGTTTATTCTGAACTGTCCTACTTATAATAACTACCATTTGGTTACGAGCAGGGTTTTCAGTGGGTTTTTTTGTCAGAAACCTCGTCAGCAAATTTGCTCTGATTATTATTAGTTATATTTATTACGGCTTTATGGAACTTTATGGGTGAACTCCTGCTCTGCACCAGCACTTACATGTCTTCCTCTGGACTATTTAAAGGGACAGCCACCCAGTTTCATATAAAATAAAACTAAAGACATCAATTATGTCCAAAGCATCCTTTACACGAGGTTACAGCTGTGCATCATAACAGATCAGACTAATTTCAAGACTCACATGTAGAGAACAACTGACCTACACTGATCTACACTACACAGAACGACATTTATCATTTTGAATTCTATAGAATCATTTAGAATTCTATAGAACCATTTATAATTCTATAGAATCGTTTAGAATTCTATAGAACCATTTATAATTCTATAGAATCATTTAGAATTCTATA